GGCACCCCTGTCCATTCTCCCCAGGACCACTGCCACACTGCAAAAGCCTAGACTCCCCATTCCCACTGTTGACCACACTGTCTTTTCTCCTCACATAGCCTGAGTGATCTCCCCTCATGTCTTATTCCTTCTCTGCTCAAAACCTCCAGTGGCTTCCACCTAGCTCACTCAGAGGATAAGTCGGTGTTCTGTTTATGGTGCACGCACCTGGAGAGAGTGAAACCAGGGTGCTCCTTGGAGTCAAGGATGGTAAAATTCTGTTTCATATACTTTGGGCATGATGTCCGGAGGAACCTGTCCTTGGAGAAAGACGTCATGATTGGAAGAGATTGTCTAGGATCAGTGTAAGAGAGCGGAAGAGGAGACGGATTGACACAGCGACTGTGGCAATGGAGTCAGGTGTGCCGGAGATGATCAAGATGGCTCAGGACAGGACAAAGTTCAAAGCCATCATTCATAGGGTTGCTATGAGTTGTAATCAGCCTAACACCACCACCACCACCACCACCACCACCAATGTTTCACCCCCTCCCCTCTCTCCCTTCTGCTGTCTGTTCCACTCACTCTGGCTGCCTTGTAATTTCTAGAACGTGGTTTAGCTGCCCTACTCCTCAAGGCCTTTGCACTGGCTGTTCCCTCTGCTTGGAATGCCCTTCCCACAGTCTTCCTGTCTTTTCTTTCAGCTTAAATGTCACCTCCTAGGAAGGATTGCCTGGCCTCCCTCAGTCTTGAAGCCATACCATGATATGCATGTCTTTTATAATAATCTGAAATGGTTTCAAGTTTTTAAAAGTCCTGCTTTAATTGTCTGCCTTCCCTCACTGGGACACAGACACAGAGAAGGAGGCCTGGATAGGACCAGAGTAGCTCAAACTCAAAAGCAAATTCATTGCTATTGAGTAAGTTCCACTCCTGGATCACCCTCCATGGGGTTCTGAGACTGTAATTCACACTGGAGGCGACTGTTTATTCATCATTTTCTCTCAGGGCTGCTGATGGGTTCAAACCACCAGAAAAGCACAGCTTTTGGGCTAATTGTACAACTCCTTGTAAATCCTGGTTGGACAATTATACAGGTGAGAGGAATGCAGAGCAGGAAGAGATGCTACCATTCTAAATAGCCCTTGACTTCATGGATTCTTTTTTTTTTTTACTTCATGGATTCTTAATTTTAGATTCTAGTGGAGAAAGGAGAGAGAGAGATCAGCTGGCCCAGTGAAGAGAAAACGATGTGACCAAGACAAAGGTGGGTGACTTTTAGTTTGTGGCCCTCTGGCCAGTCTTTCATTGTTTTTGTTCAGACATTCCTCTAGGTCCTATAACTCTGGTGTACAAGTTGCTGTCCCGCGGTCACTTGTGGTTGCTGTGAGGCTGAACAATGTGACATGGATGTGTTAAATGCGTTAATGGTTGGCTACCCAGTGCGGACTGAGAGTGGGGTGGAGCTCCCCAACTAAACAAGCGTGGAAGGAGGAGTGGCATCCACTTCCATAATAGCTTGTCTCCGGAAACCCTATGAACCTGGAGAGAGGATGAAAGGCACCCAAGCGTCGAGGACTCTCCTTCATAGGGTCACTATGAGTCGTCTGCGACTCGACGGCACTTAACAACAAGTGGGGGAAAGTGGGCAATGGGCGCATCAACAAATAAATATGCAATGTGTCAAGGACTGAGTTGCAATGTAGAAAATGAAAGGAGGAGAGGAAGAAAGCAAAGTGAGGAGAGAGATGACTCATGGAATCCTTCCAAGTGTTTACTTAGCACCTCTTATTGTTGTGTGTTGCAGAGTTGGAACTGACCCATAGCTGACCCTCTGGTGGGTTTTCAGAGTCAGTTAGTTAATCGCTAGGGAGGAGATAGTCCATCCTTCTTCCACATGGCAGCCAGTGGCCTCCAACCGTGTACCTTTAGGATTGCAGTGCAGGTTCTTGCCACTAGGTCTCCCTACTAGGTATGAAGTTTAAAGATTGCTCTGGGGAGAAGATGAGAGCAAGGAGGACTTTGCAGGGAGAGGTGAGGGTACCTTGGAGAGGAGGATACTGATGATGGAGGTGCTAAGATGCAGACAGATTACATGGAATACAAGAGCATTATGTGAATTCCCCACATTTTGGTAATGAAGGAAGTATGGACCAATGAAAGGGCTTCCCTTCGGGGCTCTGTGGCTTGTCCGTGGTTTCTCAACTCCAGGGCAGCACTTTGTCCTCCACACCACCACCAGTTATCAAGTCTATTTGGATTCCTGGTGACCCCATGGATTGAAAGCAGGCCGGTACTTGATTGGGGGGATCTGAACCAGCAAAATCAACCTTTTGATTGGTAGCCAAACCCTCAATCATTTGCACTGTCCAGAGGCTCCACTGTGTCCCTCTATCATGTAAATATGCATTTGAATGCTAAATGTAGAGGCCAATTATGAGCCGCTCGGGGAAGCTTTGCCCATCTCTCCAGGTAAAATTCTTGGTTTCCGTGTTTTATAGGACTGTTTGATCAGTTCTGGACAGTGACTGCCAGGGGAGGTTATTACTTTCCCAGATCCTGGCACAGGGCCTGGTACACAGGAAGCTCGCAGTAACCAGCTGTTGAACTGCTGCATGCATGAACAAATGAATCACAAGGCGACAGCGAAGAATTCACCCGTCTCTCTTGGCTTCCTCTCATTTCTTTTGATTTTTCTTCCTAGCAGTTATCAACAAAACTGGCGCATAGCATATTCATTGCTGATACGTTTTCTCCTCTCCCTCCCTCCAACAGAGTCTAGAATTCCATTTCAGCTTTTGGAATCAAAGATCAAAGAAAGCAAGGGGTATTTTTATTTTATTTTATTTTTCTTTCTCGCTCCCAGCTCGGGCATACTCTGGGCTGCACTTTTCTGTGTAAGATCTGTCTCTTGTCAGCTCCACGAGGGCCGGATGTTTGTGTTCGATTCACAGCTGTATCGCCAACGCCTGTCGATGTGCTTTGCACACAGTAGGCGCCCCGAGCACGTTTTGATAGGCTGGAGGAAGGACGGGAGATTTCGAGGTCGGCAGTGGAGGTCGCTCGAGGGGGAAGGCTCGCACATCCGGGCTAATCTCTTTAGACTAATCTCCCCCGCAGCCCCGGTCTCCGCCCGCCCTGGTCTCCCCAGCAGCAGGCAGTGCCGGGCAGGCAGGAGTTAAGCGGCGCGTGCGCTCGCGACCCGCAGGTGGCGCCGTCCCGCCTCGGTGCCGACTCCCTGCGCTCCCAAGTGCGGGACAGAATCGCGGCGGGCGCCGAGCGGGAGCTCACCCGACTTGTTGATCTCGTCCAGGCAGTCACTGCCGCCACCGCCGCGGGAGGAGGAGGAGGAGGAGGTGGACGTGGAGGAGACGCCGACGCCGC